CTTACAGACTATAAAACAGACACACAGTAAATTAATTCACAGTGTAAAGAATCAATGTTTTGATCATTTGTTTTTGGTATCAATTTTTATCATTTTTAATACTTTAACATGTATTTTAATTTAATTTATTATTATTATTGTCTACAATTGGTTATTTAATGTCAATAAATTTGATTGCTGATTAATTAATGTATTAATTTTTTATTTTAAAAACACATTACTTCACCAAAGTAACAAAACAAAAAAAATGTCAAAAATAATAAATAAATAAATAAAATAAAATACAAACATTTGAAATTCAGTTGTCTTATTATGACCTTGAACCCATCTTCAATTCTTTTGAATGTCAATGTTTAAAGAAGAGATATTTAATATACACTAGCTTACTTGTATTCCAAATGAAATTGATGGTCTTGATTTGCATTTGTCCATATTCACTTATAGCATAAAGCAAAAAATGATAAGTGAACAGAAGTGACTGGTGGTTAATGTAATAAATGTTGTAAGGTCTGGTGCTGGACTTACAGGAGCAGCAAAGGCCTTGCTTTCCCAATCCGATCAACATATTCAGACACAGGTTACAGTATGCCGGTTTACTGAAGTGCTTCAGTCTCCACACATGCTGCCCGTCATCCTTTACATTCTGCAATACAGAAAGAGTGAGAAAAACAAAGATAATAACAAGAGAATGAGAGGAAGACAGCTTGACAATGATAATACAACTATGACAACAGTGATGAAAAACATTATGGCAAATTACATAAAGTGTATTCTGGAATCCTGCTGAGACAATGCAAAAGTTGAAAAGAAAGGAATATGTCTTGAAAAGTGTCAAATCTGCATCTTTAAAAATCTGGATGACACTCCAAATAAATCAGATACCAGACCATTAATGCAGCTGTCAAAGCATTTAAAATTAGTCGAGGACACCATCTAGTGGGCAAACAGAGTGTAACATCTCAATTTATCACACTGATGCATTTGTATCTGTTCTTCTGGCTTGGATGAACGGATAGATGTACAGACAGATGGACAAGATGGACAGATGAACATATCGGACATACACATATAAATATGTAATGCTTAATTGATTATCACAGTTTCGAGTCCCAGCAGCACTAGCAGAGGAATGGTGGTCAGGCCACCCTGGACCCACTCTTCAAGAGAAACCATCCCATCACGGTCATAGTCAATCTCCTGCATCATCTCCTCCAAAATCTACACCCAAAACCAATAAAAAATATGTTCATTACTAGAAAATATGATCAAATTCTGCACACACTGTCAGGCCAGGGTCAAATTCAAGTTTATTCTACCGGCTTCAGTTCTGTGACGTCCCACTCCAGATACTCCGCAACATGCATCATCTGACAGATAATGTGCTCCAGTTCCTGTTCAAGAGGACAAAACATTTTCTGCGTGACATCACTGTAACTCTACACAAAGATCTAGTGTTGGGATGCTCAATCCTACTCCACGACATCTATACCTTCTTGCAAAAAGTTTACTTTCAACTCTAACAGAATACCTGAAACAGGTAATCAAGGTCTTTGAGTTACAGATAAATTACTTACTTCTTGTATTTGTAACCCTTTCTGAGCATTTGGCCTTGCATTTGTTTGTATTTTAAGTGTAAATTATTAGATGTATGTTATGTTATACAGTATGTACAGTATGTATG